TATTATATGCTGGATGACTATTAGATAATAAATAATATATTATATGCTGGTTCACTAGCTCAACCAACTCAACTAACTAGCACGAATTTCAGAGGCTCCTAAAATCTCATGCTGGTAGATGCTGACGCTCTTTTTATATTATGCTGACTATTGGCGTTGACGGCACCGTCGAAAAATTTGCTCTTCCAGCAAATATAGACAGTTTCTTATGGGAATTTTCGGTGGAGTTAAAGGATAATACAAAGTCCGCCATGTTTCACGCACAGTCTGACGTTTGCATATGGATTTTCTCATAGGAGTAAAGAGCTACAGAGTCGCCGTCAACGCCAATTTATAAGAACAGCTTTAGTTCACTAGCATCAGCACACCAGCACAGATGTAAACACCCAAATAGCGGTGGGTGAACAGAACTACTCACTTCATGTAGGCTAGAACAGCTATTCCACTCTTAATTTTGCCGAAATGCTAGTTCAAGTACTAAACTAGCACTGTGACTTGTCAAATTTATGAATTAAAAACGGGAATGCTATAAAAATCGCATCAAGCGATTTGCGCGAGGTGCATTTTGGGCTGTTTTCCCCTAAATAAAAACAACGCGCTCAAGAAGGATCGCATTCTACCTTCTACTAGCTCCGTATCAGCCATGGTAGCTGTTTTGTTGTTGTTGGATATAAGTTATCATTATTAGATTGACTCAAATCGAGTGAAAAAATCAGCTCAATTAGTTAATATAAAGCCAAGGACAGCAACAAAAACACGCTCTTGCAAAGTGGGTGATTTGCGTATTTTTAATAATACTGGTAGATGATTCTTTGAGCTCATAAGATTCATAAGATTACGTACCTAATGCTTTTTAGCCAAAAGAAATCGAAATGAATTTCATAGATTTACCTTATGAAAATAATGTTGACAGAAAAAAAATGGAGGGTGACAGACCGGAATCAAACCATGGACATTTGCATTATGAGACCAATGCTATCAGCTCTAGTCACTTTTAAGAGCTACCTTGTATAAGAGGATAATCTTTCATAAGTCGCCCAAAGAAAATTCCTGCGAACAGCAAGCGTGTTTTCCGAAATCGAAAACACTCGGCTGCGGTGTTTGTCGAAGTCAGAAACACTCGGTTTTGGTGCTTGCCGAAGATCCATACACCGGTGCAAACAATTATGCACGGGTACCGGTACCGGTGCCTTGTTTGCTGCGTTTGGTGTTTTCTATCGAGCACTGGTACGGAGCGTACAACTCAATGATCTTGGTGGTGTGTAAAAAAGGCAGTACGCAGAGTAGTGTTGCGTTTAGACATGCCTGATTTCAACAAGATGGGGCTCCGTGCCACACCTCGAACCGCACTCAGAAGTGGTTGCAGGAACATCTTGCGTTCTGGGCGAAGATATGTGGCCGCCATCCAGCTCCGATCTTAATTCGCTGGATTACTCAATATGACGCATCATGAAGGCCAAGGCCTGTTCTAAACGCCACCCGAGTACAGCAAGCCTCAGACAAACATTGACCCGTACCTGGAGAGAAATGGATCCAGACTACATTATTAGAACCTGCCGTGTATTCAGGAAGCGTGTGGATGCCTTAATTGCAGCAAGTGGAAACTCGATCGATGATTAACATAGTTTAAGACTCTGAGAAACATCCCCCCTTTGAATAAATAAAAAAAACTCGAAAACGCAATTTTTGAGAATTTTTTTAATTTTGACATTGCTCAATGGTGCAAACATTATCACGCATATGGTACGTCTTTCCCGAACATTTGAAAACTGCCTGATAAAAGTATGATGATTGATGATTAAAAAATAATTTTTTTTTGTAAACTCGCGAGCTTTTCTGATAAAATATGAGTATAAAGCATGACTTGCACAAAATTTGTGATCAATTCATAAATATATCAGTAGATTTTCCAACTTAAGCTTAGGTGTCCGTCTTTACCTACGCTCTCTGATCAAAGCACAGGGGGATTTGTGGGTTGAACACTTCTTGAACAAAAATATAATAAAAAATCGTGGACAAGCAAAAGTTAGACGTTGGCACTATTTTAGCATTTCATTTGCTTAATTTTGCTGCAGGCGATTCAGTAATTTATTTTGCTGGGCTGGAACTAGGTTTAAAAATTTGGTGTTAAGTTTTCATTTGATGGGTGTTTCAGCTATACTATTTTTTATTAGGTTTTCTCTGAATGAAAACCAAAAGCAAAAAAGGCAAGTACGGGAACAGACCTGAGAGGTCTGTTCTCGTACTTGTTTTTACCCTTCTTACAAAGAATCCTAGGCCCGGAGGGTCATAAAGGGTGATACGGTCAAAATTTGGTCAATATCAACTTGACGTATTTCTTTCAATTTTGCATTTAAAAAACCTGAACACCCCTCATTTTGAAGGTGTGTGTGTGTAGAATGTTGCTCCTATTTTGATTTTGGAATTCACTCTTCAGTTGTCAAAATGCCGTCCAAGCAAGAAGAGCAGCGTATCAAAATTTTGCTCGCGCATCGCGAAAATCCGAGCTACTCGCACGCAAATTTGGCAAAATCGCTAAAAGTTGCCAAATCAACCGTTACAAATGTAATTAAAGTGTTTGGGGAACGTTTGTCGACAGCCAGGAAGTCTGGATCGGGGGGAAATCGAAAACCGGAAGCCGCTGAGACGACAAAGAGAGTTGCCGGTAGTTTCAAGCGAAACCCTAACCTCTCTCTCCGAGATGCCGCAAATAAGCTGGGTGTATCGTCTACAACCGTGCATCGAGCCAAAAAACGAGCCGGACTATCGACTTACAAGAAGGTAGTGACTCCAAATCGCGATGATAAACAAAATACGACGGCCAAAGCGCGATCCCGGAGGCTGTACACGACGATGCTGACGAAGTTTGACTGCGTGGTAATGGACGACGAAACCTACGTCAAAGCCGACTACAAGCAGCTTCCGGGACAGGAGTTTTATACGGCAAAAGGAAGGGGAAAGGTAGCAGATGTTTTCAAGCACATGAAACTGTCAAAGTTCGCAAAGAAATATCTGGTTTGGCAAGCCATCTGTACCTGTGGCTTGAAAAGCAACATTTTCATAGCTTCCGGGACTGTCAACCAAGAAATTTACGTGAAAGAGTGTTTGAATAAACGTCTGCTGCCTTTCCTGAAGAAACACGGTTGTTCCGTACTGTTTTGGCCGGATTTGGCATCTTGCCATTACGGTAAAAAGGCCATGGAGTGGTACGCCGCCAACAACGTGCAGGTGGTTCCCAAGGACAAGAACCCTCCCAACACGCCAGAGCTCCACCCAATTGAGAAATACTGGGCTATTGTCAAGCGGAACCTAAAGAAGACCAAACAAAACTGCTAAGGGCGAGCAGCAGTTCAAGGCAAACTGGCTTTCTGCGGCGAAGAAGGTGGACAAGGTGGCTGTACAAAATCTGATGGCAGGGGTCAAGCGTAAGGCCCGGCAATTCGGATTTGGAAAAGCGGAAGCCTAACTGAATATTTTTCCTGAATTTTATACTAATTGAACTTGAAAAAGAAATTTAATTTGATTTTTTAAATAAACGATTTCACCGATTTACACGCGTTTACCATGACCAAATTTTGACCGTATCACCCTTTATACCAATCGACTCAGCTCGACGAGATCGGAAAATATTGTGTATGTATGCAACCAAAATTTTTCTAAGACGTGGATGACTGGAACGGATGCAATAACAACCAAAAGGAAGATTATATAGTGTCATAGAACGCTTTGAATATCTTTGGAATCGGTCAACTGCAGATATGCACGGATTAAAATCCTGAAAAACACGGGTTTGGGGAACAAAGTCAAGTTTCTCGAGATCCACTGAACCGAATAGGGCACAATAACCACCAAATGAAACGTACTAAGATGATATAGAATGTTTTTGAATGTTTTTTGAACATTTGTTCAAATGACCGGAACACGATGCGGTTTGTATGGGCCATGGCCCATGAGACTAAATCTGTCCTAACACGGAAAAAACCAAATTGTGTCACATTGTGAAATGAGAATTCAAAATTCAGTTAAATCGAAAACATTTTAAGTTCCCAGGAACAAACTGGTCAAAAACCTAACTTAGGGGCCTATTTATTCATGATACTATCAAAAATGATATTGTCCGGTGTAAGAAAGGTGCCCGGTGGATCAATATATTTTTAATTTGTTTTCGTTTTGAGAGTTGTTGAACTACTAGATTGAGGTTAGGGCGACGCCTCTACTGACAAGCAATGCAGGTTAAACGTTGCAAAAGGGGGGAGATAAATATTTTTTTCATGAATTTCACGAGACGTAATTAATGCATACTCCCGAATTTGAGCCTTCAAACATCTGTGTATCTTACTTTTGAGGTATTAAAAACACCCGGATTTAATTTTAATTATGGTTTAGTTACGTTATGTCATGTTTAATTAGTTTCAAATATTCAGAATTTTGAATTCCATCTTATTTGCTAGAGATACTAACTTCTTCTATCTTTTATTGATTTCATTTGGACACGCGACTGTGTAGAACTATAATTGAAACTATTTGTTTTGATAAACAAAACAAAGTTGAAAGATACCACGTACAATACAAATGTTAGCTATAAATCAACTACCATCAGAGATAACGTGATATTCTCGTACATGGGGGGGGGGGGGGGGGGGGAAATGGCTCTAATGTTGGCCTATGGATCTAAGATTGGGCCCATCGCTAAACATCTGGAGCAACGTCCCATGCTAATGGATATTTTTGGTCCCTATTGAAAGTTTAGTCGATTGTTGAATTTATGCATGGGCCCAAATTAGGAGCATTTAGGCCGACATTAGATCCATTTCCCCTATATCTAAAAGTTTCTATAGTAACATACTTTCATCTAATATTCCATTGTATTCGCAAATCGCGCTTGCTCTTCTGGGCCATCAAAAGGCAATAAACGTGTCATTCTTAATCACTGAAAACCAGTACCACTCATACAAAACATATTCATTGGAGACTACTCTTGTCTCGACACTCGAAACGAATAGATACTATATACTGTTTGCCAGCCGAATAGCTACCGCTTATAATGCCGAGATAGGCAGATGAATGCAAAATCACGTTTTCTAATCATCATTATTTGCCTATGCGCGCGTACGGTACTGTTACCACTGCGTGATACGACAAACAGTTAGTTCCTAGTCGTCCGATAAGGAGCATCGCTTATCCAGCTATCTCAAACGTTGCCAAGCAATCATGTCCACCACCGTCAAGTTTGTAACTCCGGATTATCTGAACGAGGATCTTATTAGGAGATCACTCATCAAGGAATTCCATAGTGACGATATTGTGCTGGAAAAGTTTGAGATTACACCAGCTACCTCGCCTGGGGATAATTATATGAGCGATGTGTTCCGAATTCCTGTTAAGTTTCGGTATGATCTACAATTACGAAATTGTTTAGTTTTGTAAATCGAATTGAGATGTTTTCAACTGCTTGCAGCCGTTCACCGAAGGAGGAGATGATTGAAGACATTTCTCTAGTGGTCAAGTGCCTTCCTGTTACTGGCAATCGAGGATCGGTCATTGACGAGTTGAACGCGTTTCACAAGGAAGCAGAAATGTTCACCACTGTAATTCCTCAACTGTCGCGGATTGCTAGTGATGAATTTTTTGCAGCTAAGTAAGTAGTACATGTTTCATATTTCTAATATTTATGGTAACGGTCTTAGTAATTGCTGGTCATTAGGGCGAGTCAGCTTTAGAACCCCCGCTTTACAATGCTCTTTCGATGTGTATTGAGGTGCCAAATGTGTATGAATTTGGAAGTTACGATCTGGAGTTCCGGGAGAACTTTAAAGTTTGTATGGGGAACGGAAAGGAACTATTCATTGATTTGTTTTCCGTCGATCTTGTGTTCCGTACTGAGTACCAATGCTACCAACAGGGAGGCAGCTCCCACACCTGGACCCTACCTACAGACCCATCAACTCATGGACACCAACGGCTTCACATCAACGGAGATTTTATGCCTCAGAAAATGCCGACTGGGATTGAACCCAAGCCCTTTGGGTTGAGAAACAATCACGCCTAACACTATACCACCGGCGCCACTAAGCTCATGTACTTATACGCCTATAGATATGCGCGGATCAGCAATCAAAGCCGCAATTGACAGAGTGAATTGATGACAAGCAAATGAATAGTTTCTTTGCGCTTCTCCTACTTTTCCCCATACAAAACAGTTTGAACAAATTTTGAAAAAAATTGGAACAATTGTGAAATCCAATCAAAATTGATTTAAAGAAACATTTTAAAACATTTAAAAAAATACTTGAAAAGTCCATGTTTCAAAAATGAGGTTCTGCGCGTGTGCTCAGCAGTGCTACAAAATTAAGATAATACACGGTGATATTGAGAATTCTGCTTTGGTCACTCATTTGAGCTAACAGTCATCGTCAAGGCAAACCATGTGAATTGTCAATGACAATGCTGTTAGTGACGAACATGTGTATATTTTTTTGTTAAATAAATTTGTAACGAAATTAAATGCCTTGAACAACACAATTACATGGTGCCGTTAGACATTATTCGACCTCATGAACAATTGCTTGAACTTCAAAATTGGTTAGATGTTCGAGTATCATATCGTAGCCTGTTTCCACCTTGATATATCTCTAATCAACTTGTCTTTCCACTTTTCTCAGATGCTTCAACGCAACGACAGTTCCCGAGCGAATGCTGGTTTTTCATGACCTCAAATCTCTTGGCTACACCATGGCCAGTCGTCACGCTGGACTCGACTTTGACCATTGTGCACTTATCATGAGGAAAATCGGAAAATTCCATGCTGCCTCGATGGCTTTCGCGAAACAAAACATGGATCTGATAAACAAGTTATTTAACTTCAATATGATCAACCCTGATGCGGAACTCAGAACCGATTGTATCAGCATAGTCTTCGAGAAAGGTCTGGGAACGCTGATTTCCGTAATCGAGAAAAATTGGATCGATTTCGATCCCGTCATACTGGATAAATTGAAGAAACTCCATCCGGTGTACGTACAAAAGCTGGAGGCTTGTCTGACACAGAAGTTCGAAGATGGTTTTAAGGTGTTAAATCATGGAGATCTTTGGTGCAACAATATGTTGTTTAAATACGAATCAAACTCCGGAAAAGTTAAGGATGTCGTTTTTGTCGACTATCAACTAAGCTACTATTCCAGCCCGGGAGTTGATCTCAATTATGCCATATCCAACTGTCTCAACTTGGAGACACGAGCCCGTTCGAATGAGCTGATCAATATCTATCACCAGGCTTTAAGCGAAACATTGACATCTATAGGATACTCGAAGATTCCAACTTTGGCCGACGTACAGCATGAAATCAAACGAATGGAGTTCTTCTCGCTAGTTTCCGTTGTTTCCATTCTTCCAATAACGATGATGGAAAAGACGGATACTATGGAGGTTAACTTCGAAAACATGATCGATGAGAAGCAGGCGGAACAGGCAAGGAACATACAGTACAACGGAAAGCAATATCAGGCGATCGTGAAACCGTTGTTGAAGCAGTTCGATCAGAAACATTTGCTGGATATTTGAAATAGATTGGCTAATGAAGTTATTGGCTGGCTTTATATTATTTATCAGAATCAGTAGGGGGAGGAGGGGCATAGTGAGCATCCCGCAGTTTGGCTCTGGATCTCCAGCTGCATGAAACAAATCAACTGGTAGTAGGTTCAATATCATTATGATATTGATCCTACCACCAACCAATTTGTTCCGAACGGCCGGAAGTCCAAGCTGGTGCACGGGATGCTCACTATGCCCCTCTTACCCCTATACCTTCAACGAAATGTCGATTTAATGTATGACGCTAATAAAGTTCATGATTTCCATTATTATCCTGGATTTAATTTCTACGAGGAATTTGCGAAATGTGGGACAAGGATTGGGGCCTCCCTAAGCTCAGTCGGTACAGGTGCAGCTATAATACAAGACCATGCTAGAGGTGACAGAGAGTCACGTGACTCGCAGAATTAGGGGGACTCTCTTTGTATTTGTTGGTTTCCTATAGATTTCGAAATTGAACGAAGACGTTTCCCTGATGATGAGAAGATCTAAGAAGGGGAGTTTGCCGCCTCTCTCTTCTTTGTGAGTAAATTTGATGTCCTTGTGAACGTTGCTTATGGCCTCCAACATTTTTGATAAATCAAGACCAACAATTGAAATGGCCTTAACTCCATTTTGTAAACAAACCTTGTAAGGCCATTTTCTCGCGAACCGAAACCTTCATTGGCAAACCTAAACCACAATCGGGTAGAGGAGAATTTCCCCTACCTGTCCATTATGTTGGTTTGCCTTTGCGGACTTCGGTTTGGCCATTTCAATTGTTGGTCTTGAAATCTTCCCTTTTGACAATGCTAAAAATGTCATCCACGTACCTATACCAACACTTGGGCAACGAATTCTTATCCTCCAGAATATTTTCTAGGTTCTAAGTTCATGATTTCCATTATTATCCTGGATTTAATTTCTACGAGGAATTTGTGAAATGTGGGACAAGGATTGGGGCCTCCCTAAGCTCAGTCGGTACAGGTGCAGCTATAATACAAGACCATGCTGGAGGTGGCGGTTTCTATTTCCGGTCCGGCCTAACCAAACAACCAGAAGTCGTAGCAATACATAGCTAGAATAGTAAAATACTACAGATTTAGTCTAAATCGCTTATAGGAATGAATTTCATCGCAAACTTTTGACCTTTATACAAGGAGTAAGTCACTAAGCACTAAGCAATTTTTGTATAAATATGAGAAGTGGGGTATTGTGTCCATCAGAGTGCCCCCATCGCTGGGTATTTTCGTAACGAGTATCACTCCATTGTCGTATCGCATGTGCTCCATTTTGCTGCTCTGCTTTCACTTTTACTTCACCTCCATGTTGACTCCATGGTAGGGTAAACGCTCCTATAGTTGCGGTACGTTAGAAGCGTTAGGTTCCTATAGTTGTGTATTGAGTCTCCATACAAATCTATAGGAACCTAACGCTTCTAACGTACCGCTACTATAGGAGCGTTTACCCTACCGAAAAAGATATAGATAAAATTTTTTTTCCTTGATTTGTTTTCCGTCGATCTTGTTTTCCTTGCTGAGCACTAATGCTACCGACGCCAGGGAGGCAACTGCCACACCTGGACCCTACCTATCGATCCATCAACTCATGAACCGGGGACCAACGGCTTTACTTCCCTTCCGAAGGAAGGCGTGATCAGAGATGTTATGCCTCAGAACATCCCGGCGGCGCCGACTGGGATTGAACCCAGGCCTGCTGGAGTGAGAGGTAATCACGCTTACCACCGGCGGCGCTATATATACATTATTAGCAATGCTGTGATGACATTGGATTGTTCATAAAATAAAATGGGAGTTCGGCCATCGTATTTCACTCAATCCCAGGATTTCGTGCTTCCTGCGTCGCACCTGTTGTACCAGCTTACCCTGCTGAGCTCTCCTCACTGTTGAATTTTATCAAGCTTAATAACCTCAGATTGTCATCAGCAAATCGCTGTATGAAGGGTCATTTCCTTGGGACAGTTAAGAGTCTACTTCCAACAACTTAATCAGCCAATGGTCAGAAAACGAGCCATCCAACAGGAAGATGGCCCAATGAATGGGGAGAAGAGCCTGCCTTTTATCCACGAAATGTTAGCAACCGGGAGTTGACATCTTCTCTCTCCCCAGCCAAATTGCTTCAATTGAATGCCCTGATGGTCCCTCCTCATCCCCATTTTTTGATATATAGTAATATTGTAATATCACCGAATCGAAGCTTCGAGTGAAAACGTTCTCCGGGGCAGGCACTTCCAATTTCCGACAGGACAATAACTTCTACTGGATTGAAGTATGATGAAGACTCGGATGAACCACAGGTGACGGTGGTAAGTAGACGAAGCGAGCGTGCATCATCAGAGGAAACTGGTCTAGCTGCTCTTCAGATTCTGATGAACGCTTCCGGGAGGTGTTTCTCCCGAAAGCCATCGACTTAGTCAAAGATGCGTCGCTAGCTTTCTAGTGGTTGGAAAGCAAACACCGATGAAGATTCTACCTTCAAACAATTTATCGATGTCAGTTACGATGAGGAACGAATCGAGGAAGTGAATTTCGGTAGGCTGATCAACGAAGTGGTGAAGCATTACAGAATCAAACATGGTAAACGACCACTGATAAAACTACTGCACGGTAAAAAGTTATCACATCTAATCCAAATGCTCTTGCACTTGACTCAGTCTGTCATGCGGCACTACGAATCGAAGTGATTTATCAGTGATTTTCAAGTTATTTGCCTTTTGAAACAAAGTGATTTGTCGTTGAAAAATATGTATTGTACAACACCTTTAAATCAAAATGATTATCATTTGAATCGGCACGACTGTTTTCATCCATTGAATTTCATTAGTTTTGCTTTTGGAAGCAAATGTCAAAAAATCACATGACAAACATTACTCGCGAAGATGGCAAGTCAACAAAAAATGAAGTCAAGCGGGAGAAACGATAATTCTCCATCTCCACCCGAAATAATTTGCGTTCTAGAGCGTGAGTAATACGAGATTGTTGCTGTATTCAATAATAGTGTGTTATTCAGATAAGTAACATGATATGGTTATATCCTGAATAACAAATAACAAGGCTTGCAGTATGAACAAGGCTGTATATTTATTTAAACCCATTTTCTGCAAAAATTAAATCCAAGGATAAATTATTTAAACTCAAAGTGATAGATTGTAAATATCAATATGGTCGACATTTCGAGTTTAAAGCACAGCACATCAACAATGATGTGCAATCCAATCTAAAATGAAGTGATTTGCTGTTGATTTCATCGTGCTTCGATATGATCTCTTCCAAGGGATTTGCACATCGAATTGCAATGTTTGGCAAGTAGTGCAAATTCAACAGCAAATCACTTTACATGAACATGATGTTTTTTTACCGTGTACGGCCAGATGGTGGCCTTTCTATGAACACCGATCCCCTTACGACCTTCTGTGCGGCTCGGGTTCCATAATCAATTCGTACCTCATAGAGTTCGAAAAGCTGCGTTCGAATCAGTTCTACGATGATTATTGCAAACATCGCGATGTTGAAATGGTTACCGAACTCCCCAATCGCTGGGCACCATGGAAAACATCGGTCACTTTATACTTCGCCGGGACTTCTTCTCCGCCATTTCAAGCCGGGACTTCTTAATTTTATTTCAAGCGCTGGGTTACCAAAGTCGTATCTGAGAGCTAAACCTATCCTTTAACCAACTCACCGATGTCGACTTTCAGGAGCTCACCTTTAAGCCCAATAACTGACCAATCAACAGTAGCATCTTTTCATGCAGCTTCCGGAACGATGCCACTCCCTTGCCAACTTCAATCAAACTGTTCTGAAACATCAAAGCCTTCCGGACCAGATATTTGAACAGTTCGATCGTCTTGAGTGGAGGTTCTCCGATCTCAAAGTCTTCCGGTAGCGACTACAACACCATCCGGAAGAACTCCAGTATGACCCCCAGACTACAGTTCCCAAGTAGCATTGCAAGTTTTATCGTGGTTTTATAGCATTCTACAAGTCTAAATAATGGACTTCAGAACCCTCATAAAACCCTAATTGCTACATGGGTTGTACTTGGCAACGATCATCGCCTTGATGACCTCGCTCATCCTAATGTTTTGAAAATATGTGCGCTGTGAGGAATCCATGGCAGAACTTCGCCGGAAATTCACGGTTGAAGTTATGAAATCAAAATTTGGATTGTGTTAACAACAATGATTAACATTTTGACACATGCACAGAGCAGGCGCAGATATTGTACAGTGTTGCCAGTAACTATAAATATCAGGAAATTTTCTAACCATGGGTGCCAATGAAAGTGCCCAGGTGTGCCCATCTGTATTTTTGGCATACTGTGCGGAATAACCAACCCCTTGTGTCACATGCGAACGAAAAAGAGATACATCCAGTATTACTTTTTTAAGTAATAGTTTCATCTGAATACCCAACTAACTCAACCATATCGTATCGCAGGGACATTGTCTTACTCTGAACCTACATTTAAAGTTATTTTGTGTTTATATGGTTACTTGGGTACTCATATAAAATGTTGTGCAAGTACCACAAGCTCAACAACGCCCAACTATGGACAGCTCAATGTTTACGCCATTTATTCTTTAAATCAGCGAACACCACCATGATTATCTGCTAGGAAACACCGAAAAGTATATAGAGATAAAGCTCAAAACATCAAGCTATCCCATATTGGACCCTGCCAACCCACGGCACCTGCACGGTAATGTGGGCCATCAGAATGGTTCATCGGTTGCGAAGTGAAGTACTTCACAAACTGACGTAATACATTTCTCAATGTTTCAAATTTATCCTAACGTAAACTTCACATTATCACATACATGCCCGTCCATACCCGAAACCCATCCCCCACACAAAATCAAATAAAAAGCTTCACTATCGCAACTACGGGTTATCATCGAAAGTACTTGCATTTTACTCAGGCACTTTTGAGCAAACTGCAATCACCCTCTCATACTCGAAATGTGCCACTACCAACCTGACACAACGATGCCCTATACGCTTAAAGCGCAGGGTCTAAATGTTGATAATGCTTCCTTGCAAACTGGTCTTCGAATTTAACGACACGTAGGAAATGCTAAACGTTTCCGATAAATTTCAAAATCTACATCCATACCTGCTGGTAATAACGGTCAGCAATGTACAATTTCTACATCCCATGTGTCAAACACATACTTTGCGATGTTTTCTTGTATCTTGACAGTGCAAAATACCATCATATCATCTAATGATTTCATAATTCCGAAACTTTATATAGCACGATATATAGCACAAATGGCCGCAAGCCTGCTCAAGAGTCAGAAATGTTCTCATTTATTATCCATATCTGCTGTTAGTTATACGTAACAAGGTTTCGGATGTATCTATGCAGACATAGCAAGTAGTAAAAAAAAATAAACAACTTTTGGAAATGGATTCGGGGTAGTATACCAAGGGGCTTGGTAGCTTAGGGGTTACCGTTTCTGCTTACTGAACCGAAGACCGAAAGGTCAATCCTAGGCCCGTTCATTGTCTATGCAATTTTCACTATGCCTTATTATATCCCCATTGCTATTAAAGATCTGCCAGCAACGTTTACCGAACGTATCCTAAGAGTTTACCCTCCCCACTAACAAGTCTCCAAACTCCTGTGTAACTTATGAGAGGTCGTAGAGTTCTCTCTCTTAAGTAAGTCTCCAACTAACAATCCTTCCACAGTTCTCGATGGTTGGAGGTAGTGCTACTGCCATCTAGAGGCCAAGATCAACCTCACATCTCGGTTAATACAGTAACGGACAGAGGTAGCAATACTCTCAAATAATGGTCTAGGACTTGCTCCAATTACGGATATGTGCAACTTGCTCAAATTATTATTGTTATTATTATTCGGGGTAGTGGCATTCGGAGTAATTTCATAGCGTCGATTAGCTACCCAGGCCTATTTTGCGCGACGTGTGAGGTCACTTGTGAAGAGACAATTGTCACCTCGGGTGAGGTGACTCTCCGTGCAAATCAAATGGAGAGTTACCTCACCCGAGGTGACAATTGTCACTTCACTTTTATCTCATCTCACACGCCGCGCAGAATAGGCCTAACGATCTCCATTGAAAAAAATCAGTTTTGACAAAATCGGGAATGGGACCCTTGGGATGAGCGGCAGAACAGGTCTAATTAAACTCTCAATTAACAACAGTGGATGCGCTCAATGGCGTAAAATTCCATTATGTAAGGACATAATAGCCAAAAAAAAAGACACAAGGATTTACAGATAAGTTCAGCAGCACAATGAATCTTTATTAAAACGCTCACAGAGCATCAATACACACAATTTCAATCAATTAACGATACCTCACAACTCATCGTTTAATTCGTCCAGAACTATGAAATTTTTCACATCCATCCAGAATCTCAACAAAAAGTTGGCCCATTTCTCAAAGTAACTTTCTTCTATCGGGACAGTTAAATCCTTTTTCAATTCATACCCATACCAAATGGCCATCAATTGGTGATAATTCACCAGCAATGTAATGGCAAGCAGTAACACGATCATCAGTGCCATAATTCCATTCCAAAAAGCCGCCCACGGAAAGCCCCGTTTAGGCTTACGATCACTGCATTCTTTCTCGCAGATGTTAACGAAACTACACCGGCTTGCGATTTTCTGCACACGATCGCCCTCGCGACTTGTTGAACTGGGCATATTATTTTCCTCGTGAATGTAATTGAATATCGCTTGACTCTGAGATATCTGCAGGGTGCTTCCGTCAAAGCTATTGTCACCGACCAGGAAGCTTGATGGTGGTTTGTTAGAAATTTCCGTTAGTGTTGCCGTAGTCGAATTATCCAAGCTGACCGTCTTGATGGTTCGGATGGTGACTGAACCATCTCGCTGCAGGATCTCCTGGCTGACTTGCCTGAAAGTTAAATCCCCGTTACAATGTTGCTACTAAGCGCTAAAATGTCTTAAGTAAAACAACTTACTGCCTTAATAAATGGTCGTCGGTAATGGCTAATGGTTCAGATTGAACACAAAGGATTTCTTTATTGGCAGTGGCTTCAGCAGTTTGCACTGCGACGGGGCAGTCATCTTTGGAAGATGATTTTTTCACTATGCGACCGTTCAGATCAAAAACTGCGGTCCGCGGAGCAGCGCTGGATGGCTTTAGAAAATCAGATAGTGATGTATCTTTTCGGGAGTCTGGTCGAGGGATTTTGGACGGCGTCACGGAATGCTGGCACTTGGCGGCGGTGGTGGTCTCGATGGTGGAAGACCTGAAATTACTTAGTTATGGGTAGAACAATGCAGAAAGTAAATTATTATACTTACTTTTTTGGAACAACCATTGTAAAAAAAAATCTCAGCCAACAGATAGAAGTCCCATGTATATTTCGACATACAAAAAGTCTACGGTTGCTAAGATGCTTAAACAATACCAGAATCCGAAGGATTTGTTCTTACGCGATTTTTATTGCTTCGGTTTTTCAGATACAGCATTTTTTTAACACCATATTTTTCTTTGATTTTTTGAAACATGTTACACTAAATTTGGGTGCAATTTGAGTTCACACGATCAAAAAAAAATACGGACATTGTTAGCAAGACATCTTTGATTTTCAAAATCATCCTAAAGTTCAGAACATGATGCTCAACACACTCAACAAGGAATTGCGTCATGTCCCGAGCAAACTCCTGACCGGGTGCCTTCCATTCATTTTGACTAAAAAAATGTTTTATGAAATTATGGAATAATAAGATATTATGATGATATTTTGTAAGTGTAAGTAATAAGAAAAAAATTGTAAAGTTTGTGTTTGACACATCAAACCTGCAAATTTAGCTTTGACAGAGTCACAATGAGCGTTTTTCTGATCGCCTCTTCGCGAAGAGTGAAGAGCGAAGAGTGGGTGAGATAAATTACAAAATCGCTTATTGCGACTATCATGTAGCAAAATTGGCAGGTATGGATAAGAGGGGCATAGTGAACAGGTGGGGCATAGTGCGCATCCCGTGCACCAGCTTGGACTTCCGGCCGTTCGGAACAAATTTATTGGTGGTAGGATCAATATCATAATGATATTGAACCTACTACCAGTTGATTTGTTTCATGCAGCTAGAGATTAAGGGCAAAACTGCGGGATGCTCACTATGCCCCACCTGTTCACTATGCCCCTCCTCCCCTATAATGTGTCAAGCACAAACTTAACAATCTTTTCTTGTTGTTTACACAATCAAAATATTTTCATAACATCTTATTACCCCATAATTTCTTAAAACATTTTTTTAGTCAAAATGAATGGAAGGCACCCTGCTCCTGAACCATTATTTATTTATTTTGTCAAGCAAAAGTAGACTACAGTTAGACATCATTAAACTATGTGGGATATATTATTGGCGAAAAAACATCCAGAGATCTCCAAACTATCTCGCAATCCATACCCTGATGCTCAAACGGCCCAAAAAAAGTCAACACGATGTCTCGACCCACAATATGAATCCGTGAAGCCCAACAAACCCCACCATCACGCCATGTATCTGTAGTTGAATATGATTCACAAAATTAGAGTGAAGATCCCAATGAGCCATAGGCTCGACGAGAAATTGCACCATGACCCAAATAAACTCATGAGTCCTGCGCTCGTAGAGCTTCATAGAGCCCACATGAACGTCCATTCACCGAAGCGCGTCACCCTCGTTCCAAACAACATACAGCTCGCCAGTGTTATCCGTGTTGAACACCCTAAAAGCTCACCATTACTCAACGCCAAAAAATAGAGGATATAGGGTAGAGAACTACTTCGGCCTAATCGCCCATTTTGGGCCTATCGAGCAGAAAACTTAAAATAAATCCATGATTTCAGAGTTAAGAAGTCTATCATGCGTTTGGTACGATACTTTAGTTAATAAGCTACCGAACGAAGTCAATGAGAACGCGTGATATGAAGGTTTGCACCCATTATTCCCAAAAACAAAAGAAGCGCTCCGACCGAATCAATTTTTATCTTCATTCTAATAGGCCGAATTCAATTCATTGGCGTTTCAATGCGTTAGGCCGAGTTTAGAATCCGTAGACCGAGTTTGGCGTCAAGAAGCAGTGTTAGACTTTTGACAATATCTCAACGATTGGTTTCTCTTTATCAAATCTTATGGTACGTACGGAAAAGTAAATAAATTTGGAAGCCATCAGTAATAATAACATTCCGTTTGGTGCTAAACAGCGCTAGATTAAGAAAGACTAAGTGCGGGTTGTGCTTAAAAGGCCGGAAATGGGGTAGTTAACTCTAATATAGAGAAAAGTTCAAAATACAGTTTTAACTGAAAGAACATAACAAACAACAAACTGTCCAATACTAGGCCCTACCAACCTACGGCCCCTGCACGATAATGTGGGCCATCAGAATGGTTCGTCGGTTGCTAAGTGAAGTATTTCTCAAAATAGAGCAATTTATTTCTCAATGTTTAAATGTTTTCCTTACGTAAACTTAATATCATCACCCATATTCCACATCAAAATCAAATACAAATGTTTATGTACGGAAAAAACGAGAATGTAGGTGTATATCCACCGATAAACCCTGAATCTTGGCCACAGGGTATTGTGTACAGAGAACTCGAGGATACTCAGACGAAAAACAATGTATGGCTACCTCCTGATATCCCAGCACTCACTGCTGGTTTAGAGACTATTCCCGGTGGCTCTCCATCGGGCACACCGTTTGGGACACCAGCACCTCTCGATATGCCAGCCCCTTTAGGTACACCCAGTATAACAGTCACCACTTAATCCTCTCATCTGACGAATCAACAATGCCCCCGAGACGCACCGTAGAAAGCCTGATGGATGTCCCCGATCGCCCCAACACAGTCCCGCCTACTGCCGCCTTCGTTCAACATAGTCGTCTCGGCCCTGTAGTTGGTGGTGGAAAGGGGGTCTTCCACCATGCTTGCATAGGCAAGTACCTCTGTGATTTAAGTAATTCGTTGCGTGATGAGTTCTCCCAAACTCAGTTTTTCTGACCCCGGTCCAAAGCGAATTTTCGGTGACGCCTTCTGAAAATCTCTTGAGCCAAAAATTACTTCTCTACCAGGACGCACCGTAGAAAGCATTTTGGGTGTCCCCAGTTCCTCTAAATCAGTCGCGCCTATTGCAGCCAGTGTTCATTCAAGTCGTCCTGGCCCTGAGTTTAGGTGTGGATTGAGGGTCTCCCAGCTTGCTATATTAGGCAATTACACACTTGATAGCGAACTTTCACTGCCTGATGATGATCATAATTCCAGTGTCTTCAACTCACCTCAAACATCTGCCAGTCGGCAACATGGAGCCATTACAGTCAACTGCACTCCGGAACGCATTCTTGCCGTCTGGAAGCCCCTATTCCGCTCTTCGCAGTCGAGCCCCTCCTGCCAGCCACCAGCAGTCGTCCCGGCCCTGCGTTTTAGATGGGAGAAGGGGTCTTCCACATTCATGTTACTGGCAAGTATGATCAACCGACGAATATATTATCGCCTGAAAGTATCTTGGTTTCCAGCGGCCCTACTCGAACATCCTTCCTCCGTCAAGTGACATCTACCAGCTCCCAAATGCAACTACACGCTGAACCTTCCATTGTTCCCGAACACCGGAGGTCGGACATAACGATTTACTATCAGAACGTTGGCGGTATGAACGGCCTCGTGGAAGATTATCATCTGACCGTCATGGATCACTGTTACGACATTTTAGTTTTGACCGAAACATGGCTCAATTATCGAACCATTTCAAACTATGTCTTTGGTGCTGGCTACGAAATATTTCGCTGCGATCGAAACACGAATAATAGTAGGAAAACTACTGTGGGAGGCGTCCTTATCGCAGTTAATTCCAAGCTGAAAGCAGAAGTTATCGAGAACGATTCCTGGAACACGGGTGAACAAGTGTGGGTGGCTATTCAACTTGGTGATCGTCAATTGCTTCTCTGTGAAGTGTACATCCCTCCAGATCGAACCCCTGGCTTGGAGCTTATTGACGCACATTGTCGATCCGTCTTGGTCGCTTGAGACAAAGCAGGCCCTTCCGACGAAGTTATTGTTCTTGGCGATTTTAACCTACCGGAAATTGCATGGACTCCAACCCATAGTGGTTTCTTTTGTCCTGATCACGAGCGTTCATCTTTCCACGTAGGAACCATCCAGCTCCTGGACAGTTATAGTACCGCAATTCTGTCCCAAATCAATGGCCTGTTGAATGAAAACAACCGCACCCTCGATCTCTGCTTTGTGAGTGCTCGTGATACAGCTCCTTTCCTCTCCACGGCACCAGAACCTTTAGTCAAGGAAGTGCATCATAACCCTGCTTCTGATCGAAAATAATATTGTACCAGCACTCCAAACGCTGTGTCATATGACTTCCGTAGAGCTGACCATCGCAGTATTGTCCATGTGCTCTCTAACCTAGATTGGGGGCATATTCTAGATCATGTAGACGTCAACATTGCTGCACAAACCTTTTCTCACGTCTTGGCATATGTCATTGACATACACGTTTCCAAAAAGATCATCCATATCGACTCTCGCGTCCCGTGGATGACGAAAGATCTTCGCTCGTTGAAAAGAACTAAGAAGGCTGCTCTCAGAAGATTTACTTAACTCCGCACACTGCCGCTGAAATGCTACTATGTCAGACTCAACCACGAGTATAAGCTGTTTTCAACGCTATCAAAGGAGGATTCAACGGCGGCTAAAATCACACCCGAAATCCTTTTGAAACTTCGTAAATGAGCAACGCAGGGAAATCGGCTTACCCTCTTCCATGATTTTTAATGGTGAAACTGCTGGCAATCAACAAGACATTTGCAACCTGTTCTCAGCCAAATTTGCTAGTGTGTTTGAAGCCACTACAGATACGATTTATAGAGCAGCATCTAAACTTAAGACTTCAGCTAAGGCTGGACCCGATGGTGTTCCGTCGATTGTTCTTAAAAAGAACATCGCTTGTCTTTTAGATCCACTGCGCCGCATATTCCAGCTCTCTCTTTCCGTCTTGCTGGAAGACTGCGGATATGTTTCTTGTTCATAAAAAGGGAAGCAAACGCGACGTAAACAACTACCGGGGAATCACGTCGCTGAGTGCTGTATCAAAACTTTTTGAATTGGTTGTCATAGAGTCCCTAAATGCGCATTGCAAGCAATATCTAAGCATAGATCAACACGGATTCATAACTGGCCATTCCACAACTACGAACCTGCTGTGCCTAACGTCTTACATCACAGACAGTTTGATTGCTCGGACCCAAACGGACGTTATCTACACAGATCTTACGACAGCCTTCGATAAGCTGAGCCACGAAATTGCGATCGCTATGCTTGA